ATAGGATCAGACTTGGCCAGACGCTTGAGTCCCTCCACCAGCTTGGGCAACTCAGACGGGTTCTTGGGCTCCACAGCAACACGCACGACAGGACTGACACTGAACTTCATCACACGCAGGTTGTGGGCATGCTCGAACGTGGACAGCGTCCCGGTCTTCACTAGGTACTGGTCCACACCGACCAGACCCACAATGTTACCACACGGCACATCCTCGATGGGCTCGATGTAACGACCCATCATCAAGATGGTCCTGGGGAGAGAGAAAAAAAGATAAACAAAAGGAGGGCACTGATGCTCTTTTCACTTGCACAACAGTTTTTTGTTCATTAAAAAAATGTTTTTTTTTTTAATTCTCTGTCTTCAATGATGCTACTTCAACTAATACAAGGCAGATATTGGTCATATGTCCCCCTAGTGTTTGGTGCTGGTTTTGTCATGGACCAGTGCATGTTAGGTGCAGGTAGACATCAGAAATACCTACATAGCCCCAGTTTTACATGCATTAACCTGCATATATTAATGCACTGTTCTTTTGGGTAAATATACAATTCTATCTCATCTTAACCTGTCATTGGCACACCAAATCAGTGTGTCATCGATGTTCTTGCAAGTGTATTTCCAGCCCTGCTATCATACAGAAATGCTGTTTTCTCACCTCTGGATGGTCTTGAGGTACAGGTCTTCCTTCTTCCCAGGGACGTAGTTGGGACCCATGATGCGCACCTTCTGCCCAGTCCCCACCTTGCCGGAGAAGACACGTCCGAAGGCATAGAAACGGCCCTTGTCTGAGGTGGGCACCATCTTGGACACGTACATCATGAGGGGGCCATCAGGGTTGCAGTTCTTGATGCCTGTTCAATACAAACACAATGCATTTGCTAGAAAATCAACAAGTAAACAGGGTCGGGTCTACCATTCTAGGAAGGGACTACTGTTAAGATATTTACTTACACGATGGTGGATTTATTCCTTGACGTAAAGCAAATGTTTCTGCTGTGTTTGAAATTTAATGTTAAAACAATTCCTTAGGTTATTCTGAAGGTTAATTGAGAGATGAAAATAATAGAAAAAAATCTATCTATTGATGAATGAGCCAGAGGTATCAGATCGGCGAGTGAAGATATTGTTTTCATCATCATACCAAAGCATGCATTGGACATCCATTCATCATTTACTGTGGCTCATATTTACGACTTTTCTTTACATAGATGTTCTGGCACAGGTAAAAACCATTGACATTATTTCCTTTAAAACACTTCATAGGTGGTAACAGTCGATGTAGCAAATAAAAATCTACACACACCTACAGGTATATGTAAACTCAGTAAACAAACAGACACAGGTTAGGTGCAGGTCCCATTTTACATGCTCTAACTTGCATATATACAAATGTGTTTTGAGCCCAGATAGGCCAGCCAACTACTCACCAAGAGCAGCCTCGTCTTCGTGAGGGCCCTCGTACAGCAGTTCCATACGGTACTTCTGTGCCGTGACGGGGGACGGAAGATGGGTACAGATCATCTGAAGGAGAGCCTCTCCGGCCGGCAGCCATTTGCGCATGGCCACCTTCAGCAGGGGCTTGCCTTCCAGGCCCTTCTCTTCTGTCGTGAGTTTCACCTGAAGCTTTTCCAACACCTTGGCGGTGTCGTCCTTCTTGAAGTTCATGATGGCATCGAAAACCTGACGGGTGACGAGAGGGTTAATTTTAGGGCAGTAAAACAAAAAAAATATTCTAGATGAGGTACAGTCTGCCATTTCTTACCACATTTTTGCATCATTTCACACTAAGCATTTGAATAGCTCAGAACAGCT